GGGCTAGAAACTCCAAGCCTGTCTGTGACCCCACTGCCACTGTCATATGTAACCACTTGGATACAATTATTTTTCTAAACTGCAAGCAATTTGGGAATGTATATAATTAAGTAGGCTTCATCAGATGTGTTGCAAAAAAATATAGGCTGATCACAACCAGGGATTGATGGCTTTTATGTGCAGCCAATGGGATAAAGATAAAAGAGGAGTAGGAAGAAAAAAGGTGATCCGGACAACTTCAAATACAAGGGTGCACTGCACTCAGTCAGTGTTGTGTCTATACTGTACACTCATGTTTGTTGTATAACTGTTTTTAATGTCCGCAGCAAAAAATCTACCAGATGTCTTTTCAAAGTTTTCTTTTTTATCTCTCTATCAGAAAGAGATAAGCAATTAAGATGAAAAGCATTATGTCTACTACACGATATCCATTAAAAAAACAGCAAATTACATTATTTCCAAGGAAATTGAAAAGTTGACTTGTTACTGCAACTTGACATATTTTTGGATTTGCTAAAGATTTTAAAATACTGATATCGATATCAAACATTGTTTATTGGCAACAACGGCAAGTCAAATTTCAGATATTGTCTGTGGACAGACCATCCCTATTATGCAATCTCCAAAGCTACAAAGACCGTAGTTCCTTGCTCCATCTCACTCATCTCATAGCCAACATGAAAAATAAAATACTGTAAAATCCCATAAGAATAATACACTTCTACTTTTACTTGGACTGAACAAGTACTTGTGTGTTTTTGTTGAACACTTTTCCTTCTGGACTCTTTGTCTAATATTTTGCAAAAATATAACGGTACTGCTAACAGAACTTTTTACGGTATTCGTTGTACTTTGTGAGTCCTGTGTTAGAATCTAGACGCACAAATGGCCCAATGCTGCTGTCAGAACAACTGTTGCATTATTGTTGACTTACATTGTACCTTTAAAATCAGATACACTGCAGAAGGCTATTAAAGACTATTTGAAAGCCTGAACCTGTACTTGTGGCTCACAGTGTCAAGTGGTGCCAGGAAAGCACGGCGGCTAATATGAGAAGACAGCCATAACAACAATAGTAAAAATGCACATCCTCTCTGTATTCATGAATTATAAAGCAGCCATCACCCATTGTTTTAGGCTTGTCGATATACTACGTCCAGCAGGAGACTAGCTTCTTGGCATTGCACTTAACCGCAAGACAGCCTCGCTCTCTGTCCACTATTAGCTGAGCCTGACCTGCTCCCATAGGCCCAGAGGTCAAAGGAGAATAGACGTGAAAGTGCACGCAGTCAGTGGTGCAGTACTTCTAAAACACAAACACTTTCAATACAACAACTGACTCACAGGTGAATATTTTTGTGGTATTTTGTTTTAACAGCACCATGAGATATCATGTGTGTCTCCCAACATGTTTAATACATATACAAAAGAAATTGGGAGAGAAAATATTTTGAAATAGTAGTATAACTCAAACAATGAAAGCTACCAATGGTAGAAGTAGCATAGTTCTAATAGTTGTGGTGGTTTTATTACATAATTTAAGTAATTTTGTTCCTTTTGCCTGGGACAAAACTTTTTTTGATACTTAACTATTTGAGGTATCAATATTATAACTTCAGTTAAGACATTTGCTTCACCTTTCTTCATTAATTACCACCTCCCTTTAGACAGTTAACAAACACCCCAGCCCCAAATGCTCATGCCCATCAACCACCCAGTCCTGAGACAGCCTTGCGGCACACTGCGATGTTAGCGACTCAGCATGTTTTCAGCGCGCTGTGGACCTCTACTCTCAATCATCATTAGGGCTTTTGTGGAGTCCTGGGGTCTGGGCACGTCGCCAAGATGTGTAAAAGTTTCCATGAGGGAAGCCTTGAATCCCCGTCAGAAAAACTGAGGCAGTGCGGAGATCCTCGAATACTTTTTTGTTGCCTTGGGGAGATGAGGGAGGGAAGAGTTAGACTAACAACAATCCTGTTTTGAGTTTGGGCAAACAAGCTGGGTTTCAGATGCGCAAACCTTGAATTAAAGCAGGAAATAATCATGAGTGAAAATACCCTGCAACATGAGGCAATCAGTGCACATATGTCAAATGTCAGCAAATGGCAGAGGCTGTGTGTTGCATGATGCTTTTTAGTGAATAAGGGCCCTCTGTTTTGCAGGGAGGCAGCTGGGGTGGATCTAGAAACCATTGATTAGCACTAGCCCCTTTGCAGTGAGCAGCAAATTCATGATTTCACCCATCACAATAGTGGCTAATGAGACAGGACACAGGGGCACACTCACATACCCCATACAGTGTTCTCTTACTCATCGAGCCCAGAAGAACCAAATAAAGTGTGACTTTTACAACGTGTGATGAAGACCATAAACTCATACCAGGGTCTGATTGCATCTGTGTAAAATAACTGTATGTTTGTGGTCACGCCTCACATACATGTCTGCTGTCATGGCACAGTTTCCATTTTTAGTTTAATTTGGGGTTTGTTTTTAGCTGTAATTCTGGTAGCTATTTCTGCTTATTGGCTTATTTAAAGTGCTAAAAATTTAAATGTGCCAGATGTTTAAATATTTCAAATAATGGACACCTAAACTTGGTTCTTGTGACTCTCATTCACAAGGCTTTGTTAAACTAAAAGTTAAACTGGTAAAAACATTGAATTATATTCTCCTCTCATAGGAGGATTGGCTGAGGGACTTCACAGACCTCTAGATGGTAAGATACAACCACACAGGAGAGAAGTGTTCAGCAGGCTATAATAGAGATGTTTGCTCCTGTGTGGTACAGTAGCCCTGCGTTGATGAGTTGAGTGATTTCTCAGAGGCTGTGTAAAAGCTGGCCTGACCATTGAGACACATTTTCTCTGAATGATGAGAGCTGGAGGCCTCAGTGCTGGAGTGTGGGAGGTGGTCTGCTCTTGGGGAAGATCAAGTGTGCTCCCGCAGTCTCCAAATCACCGGCCCACAATTGCGCTCTTCAACGCGGCTGCCGTTAAATCACTACTGCTGAGGTGAGGTCATCCGTCTGTCTTCCCTTCTCTAATGGAGCGCTCAGCTCACTAACATACAGCGCTAATGCCTGCGGACATAAGCAGGATGCCCTGAAAGCCGCCTTCCGATCTTATTTATTTTAGCTTAGGACTCATTTAAGGGGCTTGGGAGATGGCCGGCCCGTGGGTGGTGAATGCCTTCGGAGTATGGTGTTACCACCACACACTTACAGGTCTCCAGGAGCTCACCGCACAGGCTCAAGCAGACGATAGCTGATGCAGATAGGCAGCACACTGAGGTTTTTCATAGGTCTTCCTCAATGTCGTTGCTCAATCAATATGAATTCCTGTGCATCCCTAATGCAGCAGTAATCACTGCCTGACTACATTTGACTCCTTGACTCACAAATATTAGGCCTGCTAAAGTGACAGAGGATTGAGTGGTGGGAAGGGGAAACAAGGTTACATGATTTTAGTTTAGCACTGAACTGAAAGTTTGGTGTATCTTCTATTGGCAGTGTAAAGTGACTCCTTAACAATCTCTTTTGAAAAATGCAAAATAAAGCTTGAGTTTCACTTGATTCAATTTTCAATGAACTAAAAAGCTTTTGCCTGCCATAACAATTGAAAATAGGGAAGAAAATTAAAGCAACAATGTGGAAATTGTATTTCCAGATGAACTGGAGTGAACTGATGAAAATGTGAAAATGGGAATAATGGCCATATGACTTTTGTCTGTTTATGAGCTGAGGACTAATGAGACTCATCAGGGCTGACACATCTGCTGACAAGTACAATTCAAGTCAATTACAGTTCCACAGCACAACTCCCCTGGTCCCTATGTGCCTATCACCCTTTAACTCCCAGAGCTACGTGAGAAGAGCACTCACATCACCATAAACGCATGAGTAAACTCAAGTTAATGTTTAAAGGAAAGAGAATACTGCAGGCTTCAATAAGATGTCCCCACCACCTTTACAGAAAGGCATATTGTGCTATAGACATCATTACATTGTAGCCCATTAAGTGTGAATAATCAAAACAGGTTTCTACAAGGTTCTCATAGCTTCCCTCATCAACCTGAAACTACAAGGTAAGACCTCCATATATAGCAGGCATGTATGTTTGACAAACAAACATTGTGAAGCATGTATTAGTCTCTTTGGACTAACTTTGCATTCATTCAGACTTTATGGGCAGAGTGTAAATTCACCATAACAACAAGTACACTCATGCTCTCATAGATAATGACCCCATGAGACACAGGTGGGGTGGTCACAAGAGACAATAACCTTGAACATAAGGTCCCTTGGGTGCTACTGGTCTCATCGCCAGAGGGGACCAGTGACCCTACAGTCTCCCTTGATGACGTCAGCTGCATAGTGGCACCGCCATAGGGGAAACCAAAGCACAACAAAACATGTGACAGCACCCGCCTCCCTGCATCTCTCCCACAGGCTGCGCAAGAGGTGTCGCTCGGGGTGCCTGGGTGCAGGAAACCCCAGCCCATTGTTATGCTTCCGTCATTAACTCTTGTATCAACAGTTTGGTTGGCTGTATGCGTGTGCCACTGTTTTTGTTACACCGCTCCGCTTGGCTGACCTCGGCGCTCTGATGTTTTGACAGATTGTTTCGAAATCCCATCAAGGCAATTTTCGTTTTTTAGAGAGGACAACATACGCCGCACCACATGTTAGGGCAAAGCAAATAAATCCAGCCATGCTAAAATTAAACAATTCTGACGCAAATCTGCAGACAGGATTTAGGCAGGAAGTGGGAAGAGGTACAATAGGGTCCAACGAAATGTGTGGGGGCTCGCTGATAAGACAAGGTGTTGACTGCAGAGAAGCCTGTGGGGTAAACTGTCAAAGATCTTTATACGCTACTATACCAACATGGCAACACCCAGAAAAACTGAAGTTTTGAAAAAGGAAGAGAATGTAAACTTGACTTTGTAAACTGTAAACTACAAAAAGCAGTGAACCAGTAGTAGTTTGTTTTGACACTCACCATCATCGAGGTACATCTGGTCCAGTTCTTGGGGCTCCTGTTTTATGGTCACGGGTATGGATGAGGAGCTGGAGTCTTCATGGAGGAGGGTGGGTGAGTTCTCTCCATTCTGGCTGGAGACAGGGCCAAAGGGGCTCTCCGCAGGACCTCCAGGCGTGGATGGATGAGACACAGGGGAGGACGAGGGACTGCTGCTAGGGTAGATGTGGCTGTAACCGTGGGGTCCCGGGCTGTTGAGGTGGTGGTTGGGGCTGCCCTGAGACTGGAGCATGGTTAGGGATGAGCTGTGGTCTGGCGAGGCGGGATGGTTGAGATTTTCGTGGATACTGGACATCAGTGGACCATGTGTGGGACTGTTGGGCAGGCACTTGTTGTAGGCCATGGGGGTGAGGTCGTGCAGTGTGGGGCTGGAGCTAGGGGGCGATGGGGTGATGGTGGTGTGGCGAGGGGGGCAGGTGTAGGTACCGACCAGGCAGGCTTCAGAGTCAGGTACAGGCAGGACAGGGGTGAGGCGGGTCGGACTGTAGAATGATTGAGAGTGGATGGGTAGGCCACTCCCAATGGAGTCATACTCATCGTTAGGCTCTGTCTTTATGATTGGAACTGGGGGAAGAAGAAAAAAAATAACAAGAGATCCACGTGAGCTTGAGTCAGTAAAGCAATGAGCAGGCAATTGTGGGCATGATAGCATCCATAATCCAAATAAACAACGACCAGTGGATCTGGGCACAGCGTCAACTTGGCAGTGCTCAAGAAGAGAAACCCCTACCACCAATCCCCCCTCCCCGCTTTACCACATACAGAAAAAAAACAAAAGTGCAGAGGGGGGAAAGAAAAATGGATGAGTCATCAGTGTGGAAAGCCACAGCTGGCTCTAATAATGAATAAGACCTATTTTCTTTGGACTTTCTCTCTGCTCTGATATCCAATAAAACACTACTTTAAAGGAACGAGCTGCTGCTGCTAGAGAAGCCAGAGTCTCCACGCTTTCTCCACACTCTAAAAGTAATTGTTTCTCTTAGGACCAAAGATAAAGGGAAAGAGTCAGAAAAAAAAAACAAGATGATTTGATTTTGATTGGGTCGGCTATGCTTCTTAAGGAGCTGTGGAGCTAAGCTGAGTCTTTTTTTGGCGTTTGACACTGGAGTTCATGCCTGAATGTGATGACCCCACTTGACTGTTGGAGTGTTGTAGCGCTACCAGTCTGTCTGAGTATATGCAAACAGACAAAACTACTAAAAGGTATGAAAAGGTGCACAATTCTATTGTGTTGACATGTGGTGCTGAATATCCAGCTCAGAGACCATAGCCTTCAGAAAAATCTGCCCACCTGGAAAATATAATTGAAAAGCTCTTACAAAGGTTAAAACTTGTACTCATTTGAAAAGTAAAGGTTTTACTGCAGCAGTGCAGGGCTATGTGTAAGACACGCAATCCACAATAAAAAAGCCCATTGGTCAGATATGATATAAATATATAGAGCATATTTAAGAGGACTGCCAACAGCAGCTAATAAGCTGGTGTTAAGATACCCAGATGCATAGCAAAGGCCTATGAGTCACAATGGATATACTGTTTCTATTTCTGCACATTGTTAAAATGTGTTAATGGGTGTGGCGAGTGTTTGATGCCAAACCATTAATGGCTTTTGGCAAAAAACTTTACATGTGACATTTTCTCAAAGGCACACAGAGGATACAGATGTCAATATGAATAAAGAGCACTTGTCCAATGTGTGTTTGTAACTCACACAATAGGACCTTTGAGTAAGCCATGAAATATATAGAGTGCAAGTGTGTCCCATAAAAGCAGGCTTCTGCTGCTGCTGGAGTTTATTATTGTGGAGCTGGATTCAAAAGTCCTCGATCACGCCTCAGTCTCTGAGGTGCTGAGCTGCAGAGCTGTGAGCCCAGCAGCAGTAGCCTGTTTACGTCAGCCCAGTGTGTGCTGTCTGCTGTGGGGCAGGCCCCTGGGACAGGCCCCGGTCTGAAGGGAGCACAATACTGTAGTCCCATAATGCAGAGGCCTACTGTTATTAGGCCTGGGGACACAGCAATCACACCAAGCACTGCAGAGCCTTCCTCTTCCTCAAAGTGTGAACCAGAGCTGTGTCAGGAGGCACAAGTGCAGTGTCATAGCTGGAGACGGGGAAGGCATTTCTTATGCAACACACAAAAACACAGGTTTCAAGGTGAGATTTTGTTCTTCCTCTCCTTTATCTGGATTTTATAGTTTGACTGAAGTCTTTATATCATAATCACTCTAATACAATTAACCAAATATAGAAATATAAAATAAGGCTTTTCCCCACCACATGGTGCCTGTAGACTAGGAGTTGTGAAAGCAAAAAACCCACTGAATTGTCCTAATGGCGTTCCTTCAGAATATTCCACATTTTTCCACGATTCCCCCTCTGCTCTTGATATAAACATGGGCGTCCCTCCAGTTCCAGTCGTCTGTGTGTCTCTTTTGCACTTTGAATGTGAAGCTGAGAAAACAGATTCACCAGGCGCGTCCTCACTTCAGCTGGCTCTGATTTCCTCCAGAGCGGTGGGTTATAGCCCAGAGACAGTGGATGCACCGCACATGGTCCTCTCCCTGCTTTGGCAGCCTCCCTCCTGTCTGCCTGGATTACACTGATCATGGCTGCTCTCTGTATTCTACTAGCTAGCATTGGCCTTTTGTTTTCTGGCATTTGTTTTACATGATTGCAATTATTTGACAGCTAAATCTGATTGATGTCTGTTCCATGGTTTCAAATGAGGCTTAATAAAATACAACAGAATTATTATAATAGTTCACTTCATAACGTTAATAAAAATTTATGCTAGAATTCAATCAGGTTTTAACCATTGACTACTATAATTACTGTGATGTTGCTTTCTTTTTTGTCTTCCGTTTATTCTGGCCTTTCTTCGATCTTAGCTCAGAGATAATTTTTCAACAAATAATTGATTTAATGTTTGCTTGTGCTTTTCTATTGCTTGTGACATTTAACAAAAACAGGTGGCTCATTGGACCATATCCCACTGTGTACAAGCTGGTCTCCCAGCACTGGTCTGCCTGCACTGTGGGACTTAGTCAGGGCTGCTCCACTCTTTCCAAACTAGAATATGACTGTGCAAAAATGTTATAAAAAGAACAATGTGTGCATTATACTGGCTTTTCCTGCATGTGTCATAGAAGATGTTCTGTCTCCTGTGGTAACCACAAACCAATGTGTTTAAGGGGGAGAAACTGAAAATGTTAAGAATAGACCACCATTCTACAGGAATCTCCAGTCAGCCTGTAAAAATAACGGGGTTCCCAGAATCTGTGTTTCAGGCATGCTCTTTCCCAGCTCGTTTCAGACATGCTCTTTCCCAGCTCGTTTCAGACATGCTCTTTCCCAGCTCGTTTGGGGAACGTTGTTGTTTAATGTGGTCTGTAGGAAAACGGTGTATTATTTGTACAGCGACACGTCACATGTTACAGCTCACGCACCACTGCTCCGAGGAGAGGCTGGAACTGTGAGGCTGATCCGGGAACTTGCCATGGTGTACATTTCAAGATGGCACACGACCAAGAAAGCCACAAATGTTCGTGGATATGGTTTTCAACATACACATTGGATGGCCCTCTTAGAAAATTGCACAGTAGGACTAATAGTGCTTATTATGTCTGTCTACATTCACTAGATACAAAAGTAAGCTTTATATTCAGAGTAAATATTAACATTACAAAGTAGAAGTTGTGGATAAGACAATCATCTCTGATGTAATAAAAAAAAATTATAAAAATCTATTTTTTACATCTAGGAAACTGGTGGACAACATTACTTTTAACAGTCCTACTAAATAACACGGGGGATGCTTAAGCCCTATCATAATTTCTAGATTTTTTTTTTTTCCCCAAAAGTATTTTTACTCAATAAGTCTGTTTTCAACAATAGAGTCTACCTAAACCACAGCCTTATTTTTATCACTTTTGACAAGTCTCTCTCTCTCTTTCTTCTCTCTGTCTCTCTCGTCAGTAACATTGAATGGCTGAGTTTCCACAACAAAGTCAATCTGATAAAAATACATTATAGCTCTGGTTTGGAGGAGTCTGACACTGGATGAGATTCTTATCAGTACAGGTCTGTAACAATGCAGCCTCTTTATAATATAATATAAAAACTAAAACTTTTGTCTCAGGGCTCACAGCACACATAAAAACACTATTGTATCAACAAGGCAGTCACATGACCTGAGTGGAAAATCAAGGTGGTTTTCACAAGCATCTGTGTCCCAGCGCGTGTTTGTCTCATCCTTCCGCTCTCTCAAACAAGTCTAGCTATTTTAAGTATCAGCTTAGTCTTTTTATAGATGAGCAGACACCAGAGTGTGAAAGAAATGTACTCTCTACACAGCGTCAGTGACCACAAGTGCGCTTGAAGTGGGACAGTGGGCCGGAAACCCCGTTTTCATAAACGACCAGCAAAGAAGTGTTGACAACAATGTGTGCCTAGTGTGTGTGTGTGTGTGTGTGTGTGTGTGTGTGCTTGTTCATACCTGGCGGATATTACACCATCATACTGAAACCCTCAAAGCAACGGTCTTCACTAGAATTTACCTACATATTCTTAGTTTCAGTAAATCTTTTTCTGTCACCTATTTTTGTTTGGTTTGAAATGACTACTGCACCATAAGTATCTCCAATATTGAACATTTAGTTTTTAACTGCCTTGTAGGTGTAAATGTGAAATATACTCACAAAACAAAACAAAATAAAAATTTGGATTTATCAGAATTTGGGTTCAAATTGCATAATACATATTAAATCTTATTTTTTTTAAATTTCTAACAGAGTTGGAACTGGTTGTGATATCTTTGCTGGATTTTTTGGAAAATCACAAAAACATAAACAGGAGGTGCCACATTTTCTATAAAAATAAGATATTGTCAGAAATGTGTGCACTGTCTATACAATTCTAGCAACATAATCTTCACTTAATAGGGATTCACTGATCCAGCTTTCTAGGTTTTGATAGTGACATTGATGCAGTTTTAAGTGTCTGCCGATATCCGATATCAACTGAAAGCAGAGCAGAGACTGAAAATATGAATTATTTCCTTTAAACACAAATGCTGTATGGAAACAGTTATCCAAATGTGTTTTGGAACTTATTTATCACGTAAGGTAAATACAGAACAGTAGAGCCCGACCGATATATGGCTGCTCCTGTCATCCCCCCCCCCCCCCCGCGTGAGTATCATTTGCGGGATGATTGTCGGCAATATTCGGCACGTTTTCGCTGAAAAAAACTCAAGCGGCTTATCAGAGTGATTGGGGTGTAATGTATTTAAGTGACGCCTTAATTTATTGGGCTTCATGCTGTCCGCTGCCAACATTTTTAGACACAGTAAGCACACCGGTCTTTCCTCGTCTCCCACCGTAGTCACAGTGAAGCCAAGCGCTACATACGCTTCGTCATATTTCCTCGTCTTAGCTTTCGGGAGATTTTCGTTTGTCTCTTTATCTCCGTCTCTCTCCGTCTGTCTTCTCATCCCTGTTAAATATTTTTTCATGGTGTCACTTGAGGGTCTGTTACACTTCGTGTCTACACTTCATACTCAAACTCTGTGCTGTGTGCAAAGTGCGCATGCTCAGTGCAAACAAAACTCCTACACCACCGAGCGAATGCTCCCTGCGCACACTCTGCCAATGAGAGCGCTCTGCCCCCTAATGTAGTGGAAGTGCAATTGCACTTTATTCTAGGACAGTAAAAAAAAAATCTAAATAAAAAAATAAAAAAGCATGTTCCCGAGGTCAAACGCGACCCCCTTGACGGAGCCTCGCGCCCCCCCAGGGGGTGCGCCCCACTATTTGAGAAGCACTGATTTAATCCAATTTACAGATAGATAAATGTCCTCATATGTGGCTCCGCATCAGTATTTATCTGCGGTGTAATTTGTCTGTGTGTGTCTGTACTGTCCCTGAACACCCCCCCAGAGTGACGTCACTTCACTCACGTGTGTTTGTTTACACCCGCAGCGGTGCGCAACACTGAGATTATATTCTTTTTATGGACAATCGGTTTGAGTCTGGATTAAAAGGACATTTATTAGTGCAGACTTGTGATGTGAGGAGGAGCCTGTGTGAGCGGTGAGTGTTAGAAATACATCGACTTTGAAGCTAGTTTAGGTTTTGTTAGCGATTAGCTGCTGTAGCTCCCGCACATAAACAGGCTGTTTTCTATTGGTCTGTTGTAAAGTGACTATATTGGCCGTATATTTGTTACTGAACCTGCATTGATATGTAAATGAACTGTGAATAGACGTGTGAATTATCCACATTTATGGATATAATTAATTACGGCTAAAGGCTAATAGCGGCAGTTTATTTACTAGCTAGGAGTTATGGGTCGGTCGCGATCGAAGCGGCTCTTAGAGCGAACAACGGGAGCATGTTTCTTATTGGGAGCCGTGTTTTCTCTTTTTCTCACTTTTTCTCTTCATGCCGCTTGTAGACCCGTAGTTTGACAGCAGCAGCGGCTGAAAACGAAACTTTCAGAAATCTGCGTGTGCATAGGATAAAAAAAATAAAAGTGCATATTTGGCTGCAGTTCATCATAAAATGAATAAACCAGGACTAATCTTGGGCTCGAGTGAAGGAGAGAGATAGAAACCGAGTCCCGACACTCAGACCTGGTTAAGTTCTGGTTTAGTCCTGTTTCACACATGGTTTAAATCTGTTTTAGTCCTGGTTTAGTCCTTTTTCAGTCCTGGTTCAGTTCTGGTTTAGTCCTGCTTGCAACAAAACAATCTCAAGAGTCACTTGGGAGCCGAAAGAGCCAGCTGCTTTAGTGAGCCGAGCCAAAAGAGCCGGTTTTCCAAAAAAAAAAAACTGGAATACCCATCACTAGTGTCTAGAATGTGATGCAAAAATGCCATTAGGCCAAACTACTGTATGTAAATATGATGTAAAGAGTCAGAACAACAATAAATGTTGCCTAAATAAACCCAATTTAGAATCCACTAGAGCCAAACCTAAGTTTTTTAAACAATTCAAAATTTACAGTGAATTTTTTCATCACTAAATATATCGGCGAATATATCGGCTATCGGCAGCTCCAACTCCCATTATATCCGTTTCATATCGGCCACAACAAAATCCATATCGGTCGGGCTCTACAGAACAGCTTTGAAAAAATACAAGTTCAACATTACAAGGTGTTTTTGGCCAATATTGGTCCATAAATCAATTTATTGCACTGATTTATGTACAGATATCTTGAGGCCAGTATTCGATCCATCAAAAATTTTTAGTATCGGCACCGATATACAATACCGGAGTGGCATCACTAATACTTAATGTTTATTTTAGTCAGCTATATAGTCTTCTAGTATCTATTCTAGTAAGTATTATAGCATAAGATTCACGCAGACCTTGGCCTTAACACAGTGAGTTAATTGCAGTCCTTAGAGAAAACATGGCCCTGCTTGTGTGGTCCGCACTGTACTTGTGGTTCAGTCGGCAGCCAACAACAAGTCATCTTTTAATTAGACCTGTGTTTGTGCTCAGGGTAATGACTCAGATTCACTCACTACAGTCAGATAAGGTCTTCTTTCTTTGTCTTAGCAGTTCACTATATGAAATGGATATTCTATATATGGCTCCGTCTACCTCCGCTTTGGCCCAGTTACCCACAGTGCACTCTTCATTACTGTAATCAGGCATCTCCAAATAGGGCTGACTTGTACTGTCTCTAAAAGGCTCATCTGAAATTGCTTATCTCCTGACTGCAATGGACATAAATACATCTACTGATAATCGAACTGTCACATCATATTAACAGCTGCGGGCGTAGAAAAGTGTACATGGAATACTTATCCGATACCACATTAGATGCATTAGCCAACAATCAATGAAAACAAGATACAATTGTTTAAATGTAATGGATCGGTAGTTATCAAAAAGAGGGTGAGGCTTTCAAAGTTGCTGACTGGTTTACTCAAATAAGGGATGGGCAGGCTTAATTTAATAAATAGTCTCATGAAACTTTACTCTTCACTAAGCTCATTCATTTTTTTTTTTTTTTTCATTCAACTATCCAGAGCCTGCTCCAGCCGCTATGAGAGAGTAGACAGTGGTTAGTTAAAACTTATAGGCATGTCAAAGTGTTAAAAAGATCCATATTATGTTATTTTCTGCTCAATGTTATAATGTTGTTTCCTCATCAAAAACATACCTGAAATTGTGTTTTGTTTCATTCACATATTTAACACACAAACCCTGCATATTTAGGGTGAGTTCTTCTCTCAACACTCTGTTCCACCTTGTGATGTCATGTGGTAATACAAGAAGTGCTCCATTGTGCTTTTAAACTCCATACACCTTCACTAGAATCATTTGGATGATTTCAGCCCGAGAATTACCAGTCTTTACTGAACTAAAAGTAAAATTTAGCTGTTAACAAGAAAACTACCACTGTATGACATCACAAACTGGAACAGAGCATATTTGGCTTTGGAGCTGTAGACAGACTAACAATAAACAGTTACTCAAATGTGTGAATGAAATAAAACACAACTCTAGGTAGGTTTTTGGGAATTAACAGCATTATAACATGGCTTAAAGCTCACAAGGGTCAGTTTTGCGAAATATAAGACCTTTAATTAATAATTGGGGTTATTCAGGAAAGAAAAAAGTAAAATACTTATTATGGCAATTTTAGAACCAAAGTCAAGTTATTTCTAATATTTCTATACTCCAAACCAAATGTGAAGTGCTATTTTTAGTTGTTTATGTCACATGCACTTTACTTTATAAAACTAGTCACTTTCTTGAGAAATGGTGATCTATTATACAACAGGAATGTTTTGGGGGGATTGTAGTGTCAGTAATTGTGAAAGATGATTAAATTGTGTCATTGAATCCATTTTTTTTATTTTTTTTTTTGTTAACAGAATCTCTAACGTCACCTGTCACTAATGGAAAAAGTCAATAACCTGCAATGTAATCTTATGGCTGAATACTTACTCTCAGAGACGCATTCTTTGGATTCCTATTTGAAAGGCACCTATAAACACATGCCAAAGATTTGCAGAAAACAGACAAAGATGTAGTGCTCGAAGTTCACGTCTCTACTTGACAGATAGGATTGGCCCATAGGTCTGTAGTAGTTTGTGTGTTAAAAGTATAATGTGAAATTGGGGTCGCTGGGGGATTGACTTCTCACTTCAACACTAGCTCCAAGGCTCTGTCACTCAGCATGGGATCACCTCATGGCTCAGGAACGTGCTTTCACGACTAAATAAACACAACACACAGCTAGTCCATTTACCCACAATGCCACGCCAGCCGATTCGTTGTGCAAAATTTGACCGTAAATTTCACATGACAATTGAAATAAACTGCGGTGGATGGATGTCAGGTCCTAGACAAATAGTCAGTTTGATGAAAGCAGAAGTGTGCAGCCTGTATGTGTCACTCACTGTCAGTTGTAATAATGTTAAAGGGGAGACATGGTGATAATGATTACCATTTGGGGGCAGGTAGGTGAAGCGCTGGTATTGGCTTCTCTTCCTTTTGCCGTTGCAGATGTAGAAGTTGACTTGGACCGGGCTGGATATTCGCTGGTTCCTGTATGGCGGGATCTCCACAACAAGTGTGCTCTAAGAAAACGAAATAACAGGAGTTAACACAAAACAACCTAAGTACATTAACAAATTAATGCAAATACTTAGAACGCAATCAGTAAAGTTTCTATGTGTGTGTTTTTGTGTGGTGGTAGTGGGGATTTGTATGTGGAGAGAAGGATGGGACATGGGTCTGTTTGTATTTTAGTTCTATAAAACATAAAACTCAACTCAATCAGTAAATCTGCCTGAAAGTATTTGTCCTCTAAATTTTGCTTAAAGCCCCACCATGAAACATTTCTTGTACCTCCTACAATCCATAGAGACACAATGTGCTTTGGAATATTTTACATGAAGATGGGTTTTATGCCATATTGTACAACATTCAAGGTAAGCGATTGTGTAAGAGATGAGATTTTCATAAGACAATAGAGCCCACCAGGTCAAGTTCTGAGTCAGACCTTTATGCTTGTCTTTTCATGGAGATTTAGAGCAATAAAAACACATGATTAGATAAAATATATTTTTCCCCCTGAAATCTTATGTGGTGGTGCTTTAAGTATAAAAGCTATCCTGTTTAAATTTTTTTTTTTTTTTTTTGAGTATAGAGTCACGTTACTTTCCACCTCTGATTAAGTGTCACTTAGAATAATGATCTTTGGCAGAGGCCTTTCTTTGCATAAATTTTCATTTCACATTTGAATGGCGTCATTTCTCGTGCGTAAAATTATTCACCATGTGTTTACTTAGTGCCAGGTCTGTATTTGGGTGAGTGTTTCCAAGAGGCTGCACTTTAAATGAGCTGCTCTGGTCCAGTGCAGATGCAGCAGTGGCAGTCGTAGGCCCCAGGAGGTTAGTCCAGTGGCCCTGTTTGTCTCCTATGTTTGACCCTTGGGCTTTAGCTGGGTCCCACCACAGCGTCCAGTACAGAGGTGGTTAAAGAAAGGCATGTGGTCCTTATAATAATGATTAATTAAAAAATAAGACAAAACCAAAACCTCATGTCTGCCTGCACATTCGTAGTATGACCAAGAATGAATTCACCTTTAAATGACTTAGTGGAAATGTATGATAATATTAACACTTTTGAATTCTTGCATTTGCTAATACCCCTGTGATACCCTGATTGAGAAGATGTTTTTTCACTGTCAGACTCCCCAGCCCCTCTCAAGCCCCTGCACAAGGCCAGTTTATGACAAGTCTGGACGGATGTGAACTTTCGACTGCTGTCAGAGGAACAAGAGGAGAATTTCACTAAAATGCCTAAAATAGCTGTCACTTCATGGGGTCCACATTGTGAGGTAGTGTGACAGAAAGCACCTTTTGTGTGGGTCAGGTTCAAAGGGTGGTGTCCTTGTACTTAATTTGCTCTCCAGATGATGGGGAAGTGTGCAGGTGGTGAGTGTTTTGCACGTGACCTTTTGTTTTGAATGTGGGAAGTAAAATATGGCAAGGCAGGAAGGTATAGGTGGACTTCAGAGAAAAACAAAATAAAACACTAGAGGCTCTAATATGAACTCTAAAAAAAACAATAACAAGAGGCAGTAGATGGCACCAGGTCAAGTTACAAGTCAGATCTGTGAAGTGGCCGGTCTGGTCACAGAAGAACGCATTTTTTTTCAAGCTCTTTTTAGCTACCAAAACAATTGAATACATGTAAGATTTGATTAGTTTAATGGAATACTGTGGAAAATTCCAGGCAAAGCAATAACATCTGTGGAGACAGCAACAGGTGACACACCCTCCACCAGAAAATGTACATAATGAACTTTCCTCAGCTCATTAAAAAACTATTACATCTTACTCAATAGTCATAACAGGTACCAATACTGCTGTTATTGTAATTATAAATCCTACTTTTATTTGCCATCAAGGTAACAAAATAGTTCTGATCTGGAAACTTTTTTTAGTTCTACCAATGTGCCTGTAAGAATGAAAATATTGCTGAGCAGGAAGGTGCAGGGGGCCTGGTTAGCTTTAAGTTAGCCGACAGGGCAGGTTTATAATGATGTTTGTTGTATCTACAAATAAACTCACTCACACTCGCTAATTTTTCCAGCATCTGGGACTCTTAGCCCTTTGCACATTGGCCCAGCCCTGCAGGCCAATTAGGTAACCTCGGTCCTCACACACATCCCCTCCTGATGCAACTCTGCCATTTAACCTGGGCCAATAGCATCAACAACAATAACAAGGAGAAAAACACCCTCAAGTTGTCGCATTTAGATCTACTTATTTTAGACTTGGAGAAATGGGTAAATTGACTGGGCTAGCTTACACAAACAGATAGAGAGGTGAAGGGAGGGGGTAGATGCCGCTGATGAAAGACTAAAGCAATTCAAAACATACAGCACGCACACAAGAGGTCCTCCTTGAGTGCTTGGCTCCAAAGGCAGACAAAGTGAATAGACTGGAGATTTTTGTAATTAGGTCCAGAGTATACAAAAGCAGCAGTCGGCCGGTGACACGTGCAACAACACCGAGGCCTTCCTCCTCATTATTCCCACTTCCTAATGTTTTAGATTAAGAAATTGGGAATGTGGTCTGGTTTATTTTCTGATTAGGGGCTCTTATGAAACGCAGCAGGTAAAATCAACGCTGCAATCCAGCTTTGGCTGGAGTACAGATGTGGTGGTCCAAGTCTAGGCTGCCACTACAGAAAAAAACTAAATATGGGAACTGAATGCCAACTAATGCACACCTTTAAGCTTGGTTTTATATAACAAATGACATGAGTCCTACTGAGACTATACAGTAAATTCAGTTCCTATTCTATACTAGAGCCTGCATTAAAGGGACAGTCCAGAATTTTGGACATAGGACCTCATTTCCTAGTTAGCCAGAGTGTTGGAGGCCTGCGGAGACACTTTTTAAAATATTACATCGAGTCCTTGTATTTGCAGAGGTCGCTGGTGCTAGGCTAGCGCATGTCAATGGCCATAGTTAGCCTGCCACTAAAAACAGTCTTACCCACACCACAAAGCACTGGAAGCAAACTATTATTACACCAGACTGCCGATGTAAATGTCTTGTTGATGTTTTGATGTGTTGATAGAACAATGTCTGAAATAAAACTAACCTTGCATGGCATGAATCATCCCATGTTGAGGGACTATTTTCTCAGCAGCAGAATTTTACTTTGCCGGTAAGAGAGGTGCTAGGTCTCATATCAGTCTGTCGCTGCCAAGCTTTATATCAGGAATTACAACTCGCTGCTACTGCTCAGACATAAATCCTTCAAATGCAAGGTTGGTTTTACACATCGACAGTCTGGCGTAATAATAGATTTTTTTCGAGTGTTTTGTGGAGTGGGTAAGACTGTTTTTAGTGGCAGGCTAACTATGGCCATTAACATGCGCTAGCCTAGCACCAGCGACCTCTGCAAATACAAGGACTGGATGAAATATTTATAAATGTGTCTCCACACGTCTCCAACACTCTGGCTAACTAGGAAATGAGGTCCTATGTCCAGAATTCCGGAATGTCTCTTTAAAGGTGCACCATGTAGCTTTTTTGGTGGAGGATCTGCCACTTGCTTGAAAAACATTTAATGCCGTATTTTCATTCCAGGCAAAGCAATAACATCTCCATTGAGACATGCAGATGGCAGACCCTCCACTAAAAAAGTTAGATAGTACACCTTTAATGTAGGCTCTAGTGTAGAATAGGAATTCTACTACTGTATAACCTCAGTAGTATTAATTAGCAGTACTAATTTGCTATATCAAATCAAGATTAACTAATACTGTGTCGGCTGTACTGCTATTAGAACCTCATGCACTTTTAAAAAGAAAAAAATATATATTTTGAAAACATGTGCTATACTCATTAACCGCATACTATCAAAGTTAATTAATTGACGATTATGTATACCATTTTCACCACAGCTGTTGAAAGTATTCATTGACAGAGTACAGTACAGTATAACTATGTGAACTAATTGTCTGGCTATGCTTGGAGGGCAAGAGTGCGAAAGCTGCAAACAGTTAGCAGACACCAAAACAAAATGACAGGTCGTGTTTACTCCAAGAGGATGCAGAGATTGGGTGAAAATTCCATTCAGGATTGCATGGGCTAATCAACATTGTCTGTGTTGAAACTTGTAACGCCTTAGCAAAGGTTACATCATTACAGGGGACAGATGAGGAGCAGAGAAAATGAGGAAGTGTCAAGGGAAGGCGGGACAGAAGAAAGCAAGATGGCTACACGAGATGACTGATTGGGCGCACTTACAGATTTGACGGATTCCTTGTCCACTTTGGCTTCTGTCTCCCAAAGATGATGGCCATCTACAAATAAAGAAAAATACATTCAGTTGATAATGCCATTCCAGGATAACAATGCTGAGGCTTATTTTATTTATTATAAAACAGACAGCAGTACAGGATTGCAATCACACCACAATTTAAAAATAGGCCTTCAAAAGTGTGCACTGGCTGGGACACAAGACATGGAAATAAACTAACTGTAACTACTTTGTTAACTCTTGTAGTTTATATAAACTTTACACTCAACAACAAGTACTTTAAATATTATTCTACTGATACGATATTTGGTTCCTAACTAAAATAAAAGCAAAAGTAGATTTTACCTTTGCAAAAAAAAAAAAAAAAAACTAAACTAAATAAGGTATGTGATTTATTCTAATGTAGTATAATGTCACAAAATACAGTTTTTACTAGTATCCAATACAGTATCACTACTCCTAATTGGAATTGAGGTGTATTTTAAAACTCCTGTCAGAAACTCATATTCAGTTGTTGACCTATTATTTCTTTATTCTGCAGTGACATTTCAAATTCAATCTTTCTTACAAATCCAACCCTCCTCTTTGTAGTCAAAACAGACTTGAACTTGCAGAACTTAACCCTGAACTTGAAACGCCTCCTCCTCATTTGTCCTCTTTCTTCTCCTCTGCCTCTTGTTGTGGTGAGGAGGTTCCCTTTTGCTGCAGAGCCATAAAAGCCAGTGAGCTCCTGCAGCTGCTCAGAGCCTGCTAAAGCTCAGCACACATTCTTTGAGTTTTCTCTGTGATTTTATGCCACACCTTCAAGAAACAGACGCGGCGGGCTCTGCTAGGCCAATCAGTCCAACCGCAATGCCAATATTTTCACTATATTCAGGCCTGCTGACTTATTAAGGCTGTCAGAAATAGAGGTGACACACAGCAGTCTTTGTGTCACTGGCACACTATGTGATGTGAGAGCAGGCATGGCCAATGGCTGTGGTACTGTACATCAGGAGGGGAGAACACATGCAAAATACTCCTCCTACTCCTCTCACTACTACTACTACTTGCCACAGTATGTGATGTGAGAGGAAGCAGTGGCAGTGACTGTGGTACTGTACATCAGGAGGGGAGAAAGCACACAAAATAGTAGTACTCCCTACTCCTTCTATGCCTCCTACTACTACTACTACTTTACTACTTGCTCTAAATACTTTAAATAAAAGGATAAAAACAACAAACAGAAAAAAAAGTTTAAAAACGTATATATAAAAATAGATAAAATTGTCAAAATGATAAAATAGAAGAAAGTCTATTATCATCTCATAATTAAATATTACTAGAACTCATATAAAGAGACTATGATTTTGTGGACAACGGACCTTCGGATAAGATAATCAACTTTAGCTTCCAAGAAATCTGGAAGACGTAAACCCTGCTTTCAGTTCCTTTTAAGAGACTTGTGTTTTTCACATCATGCAGTGAGTGAAAGAATAAAGGAGTGGAGTCATGGATGGCCTATTATTGGTGATCTGTGCTGGAGGAGGCAGGCCGGCAGCTTTATTATCCAGAGAGCGAACATCAGTAGATATCTCTTTCCAAAATGTCCATATTAAAACTGAGACAAGTACAGAAACAGACGCTAAACAGATCAGATAAGACTTTCTATTTGGACCTGGGGAAATAAGAGTTGCATATGGTGAAATGTGCATCACTAATGGACATGATGTGGATGTCTTCAGGATATAAATTGTAACTGTAAGACGCCAACAGTATTTGTGCAACTTGAGCAACTTTTTCATTAAACCACACCGAAAACTACAAAGCAATAATAATTTGTTGAATACTAACCCAAAGTCTGTCAACTTAATTTCTACTTTTGGCATGTTATTTATTATAGGCACTTAGTCAGCTAATCTGTCAGTGGTGACAGAGTGAACCAAAATTTGTATTGGTCAACCGATTATTTATTGGCACTATGCTGATTTAAATAAACAGCAGAAAAGAGAAGGCATGGAGTGAGTTAGATGGAAAATTGAGAGTGAAGAATGCCTTTTACATACAAATATACTATTTACTTACATACATATTTGACACAATAGTTAAATGCAGTTTGGGTCAGATTCATGGTCAGATACCACACTATAGAACAGCACCACTGACACCTATAGTGGACTGGTCCATTCAAAGGACAGTCCCAGTATGTCCACCTTGGATCAATGATTGTGTGAACTGGTGGTGATCACAGAATGGTGGCCGTATCTCAATAGCTGCGTAGATATGGAAAAGGTTTTTAAAAAAAGGTTTTTGGGATCTTAACATATTACAGCCATATTTTATTTTTTCATTTGACATTCCTGGTTTTTATTTTACATTTTCCAGCATGTCTTAACATGACAAAAGTTAATCTAAAAGTCACTCAAAGTATAAGAAAGGACAATTGGAAAAGGTCAGAGAAACAGACAGAGACAGACTGATGTGCATTCCTCATGTTACGTCCTGGGACACCACGAAGGGGAATCTGCTCTGCCTCCGCACCGGGCCGCTGTCCAACAGGGAAACCTAACACTACGACAGCAGCCCTCACCTCTTCAAGTAAACATGTTTTCAAACTCTGCCTTCTCGCTTAATCCCTTAAACAACTTTCGCTGGTACAATCTTTTCATAACTATTAATCTGTCAGGCTTTAGAGCGGGGATGCGGCTTCATGTGGCATTCTTGGGTTAAGTTAGTGAGCGCCGTACAACTGATAACCACAAAAGTTTCCATTGACTTTTGCAGCTTTCCTCGCAACATCTGCAAAAGACCTCTGTTCTCGACAACACCTCCTCTCTCTCTCCACCCACACATGTACACACATACACATACACGCACATACACTCACTTTTGCCCCATGCCGTTGCGCTGTCCTTCAACTAGAATGATTAAAACCCAAATAATATGATCCTGAATTGGCGCTACTGTTTGGAAGAGTAATCCAAGTTAAACAAGGACACGCACATGTACAGATTGTTCTGTGGCTGCACTATGTAAGTCTAAGGTAAACGAGCCATCTCCCTGCTGCCCTCAATGACTCACATGGACCCAGGACAAAGAATAACACACGCATAGACAGCCAGGATAAGGCTCTTATTCATAGGCATCATTGGGAGAGGCTTCTTGGACTCATCCACGCACTGGGAAGCAGAAACCAGGGAAATTATGTTAATTAAAGTGACCTTGTGTATGTGGCTACAATATAGTGGTCGCTTTAATGAATAGTGACATGTTTATGTAAATGGAAAAGATGCAAGGGAGCCTTGATAGTTGGCTCTACATGGAAGATGATCATGAAGCAATGTAAAATAAACTATGTTTCAAAAATATCCTGGTTTTGAAGTATGAAAATTATAGTATATAGTATCTTTAATATAGGTATTAAACCGGAGGTTGTTGGATCTTCACTGTTGGAAAGACCTGTGTAGCCTCCAGTCTTTGCACAATAGTCTGTGAATGTGTGCCCAGTAGAGGTAGAAGACTACATAAATCTAACTTTTTAATCAGTGTTTGGGAAAGATGGTAAGCCAGATGCTCTTCCTGATACTGCCATGGATTTTAAGATTATACTACTCCATGTCATAGTAAAAGAGTAAGAGAGATTGCCTTGATCTAGCAGCCATAGTAGGGAATGGCATTTAAAATGTGACAAACTGTGTACACTTATTGGTATGGCTTTTTGGGATCATGGTTGAGTATCAATGAGAAGAACTAAATGCTGCTGAATTTCTCACACCCCTCATTATCTGAAACAGTCTATCACAAAATGTTTAAAGTGGAAAAGTTGAAGCTCCCATTTACATGTCACTTTCTGAAACAACCCAGTTTCACATTTGCTCATGATATTGTCCAATATAGTTGAATTGTTGTGTTAGACTGTATTTTCCATCCTTTTAACATCTTTTTTACAGTGCCTGGCCTGCACACTTCACTAATTTCACAGACATTATTTCACTGTCCAATGAGGAGCAGAGCCAAAAAGTCAAACGGGGTTCCCTGATAAAAGGTCCAAAAGGTCCAGCTGCTTTTGAGACACCTGGTTCTGCCAATCTCAAACCGGAGAAAGTCCAGTTATGCATGTCTGCTTCCTATCAAGAATCCTCAGTAAATTATTATGAGACAGTCTACGTGTGATAGCTTTATAGTCAGGAAGTGAGTTATTCTTGGCGTAAAACAGGTAAAGCGTGAGCTGACTAGACCTGAGAGTTCAAAGTAGGGATGCTGGGTCACTGCTTCGCTTTGGACTTTTGAAGAGCCAAACTACAGCTGTGGACCTAGGACCTAAAGGTGATAGCTACAATATCACAGAGACGTTTACAATTGTATGATATTTGGTCATAAAAATGTGCAAAGCATTTCAAAAAAATAACAGAAAGCTGGTCTGGCCTTCACGGTGTGTGCACTGTACATAAGGGCATAGGTAGGGTCAGAGCAAAACCTGATCTGCACATCTTTATTTCACACATCTGGTGGACAGAGGAGTATGCACTGGGTCCAAACTCTTTCATCTTGTACTAATGGTGCGTTCAGGTAATCATGGACAGTTCGAATTTTTAAATGATGTTGTTTATGGTAAATTAAAGGTGCACTCTCAGTGAATTTATCTATCACTTGTTTGTCTAAATTGCTTTGCCTGGAATGATCCACATTTTTGATTTTATGATTTTGATGATTATTACTCAAAAAGAGAAAAAAAAAAAATCTTGAAAAACATGCCTTCTTAGTGTGAGCAGATCTGACTTATTTAATGCCATACTATGAAATATTCTAGGAAAAGTAACAGACTTAGAGATAAGAAGGCAACAGCTCGTCTATCACAAAAGTTACATAGTGCATTTTTAAAGATTAATTTGTACATACCAAATCTAACTAGTTATATTCTTGTACTGACACATGAGAAAAAAAATTTAAATGCTGTATAAGTGCAACAGTGATTATTGTTCATCTAAAATTTGATCAGAACCAGCAGGAGCCAGACTGCCTTAAAGTATTTCCTATTATGATTGTGACTGCGGTAATAGAATC